TGCATCCACCTGCTATAACATTAATTCTTACAGGAAAAACTGCTTTACTGCTAAACACAGGCACTTCATCTATTACACTAGTGAAGGCTAGAAAGCAGAGTAATGCTTAGCAAAGCAACTTTGAAATTACAAATAAAGCAAAAACACATATCAGAGTACTCCTGGCTTAGAAATGTATACGTTAGAGAAGCTGACAAATAAAATTTTAAAGCAAGAATCAATTTAATATAGGGTAAAAACCAGTGAAAGAAACCCGCTTGGACAAGGTGGTTTCAGTGCACAGTTGATGAAAGAAAGCTCATGAGTTTTCATAGGAAACAATATATGCAAAGAGCAACGAGCAACACCCAGCCCAAGTGCGTGCCCTTTCCTCAGTTTATAGTACAGCTACACATTTTCTGTGCGCTCTGATATCAAAGCCCACTGCTGGGCTCTGGAGTCTGCCAGAACAGCAGCAGCAACTCCATCGGTAACTCTCAGATTGGTGTTTTCTCTCCTCTGCACCTCCTACAGTTCTGATTAATCATAAGGAAAGACTGACTAGCTACAACAAACAAAATAAAAGAAAAAACTAGTATTTCACAGTCCCAGTATTTATGAACTGACTTAATATATGTCTTTTTAACTTTTCCAATGTTTTGAAGAGCAAAGAAGCAAACCTATTATTGATGCAAAAGCAAAACTGAAATTAATCAATGCTTTAATTACAGTTCATTTGAAAACCTAGGAAATAAATTTTGGGTCATGAATAACATAACGGTTTCCAAACTTTTCCTCTGCTGGAGACCATTTTTCTTCCACCTCCACTCCCCCACAAACTTTAGCAACTACAAATACACTACACTTCAGATCAGTGTTTCTGTCCATGAAGTACATAAGAAGCTAAAAATCCTCTGAAAATGAGTAAGTTTCAGATAAGAAAAATAAATTCAAAGCAATGAAATGAGTCCATGGCAGGAAAAAAAATTTACCTAGGTCCTGCCCTTGACCTCTATTCTTGATTTTTATACATAAATCTACTTTAGCCTCTTCCCCAAAAGAAAAAGAAGAATTGTGCTACTACTGGTATTTTGGACTGAAATAGAAGAGCATGATGAAGCATACAGTCTTTCTACACTTAAGTTACTATGTTGCTCTAAATTAATATTTTGCATATATTAATAATTTCCCATGACTAGAGTAGTAAAATTTGTAAACTATTTCCATTCACATCTTTTAATAATACCTGAAATTTCTGTGGAGATTTTTTTCTTTCCTTACTTCTTTACTGGATGTAAGCAGAGTTTTAGTAATGAGGTGAGATTTCATGAATTACATTGCAAACTACGAGAGCAAGAGAAAATAGCACTTTTCCATTCTATTTTCATTCTGTTCATCAAACTTTGTAGTTACATTCAGAGCAGGCTTTTCCACCATCACTTCAGTTTTGGCAGTGATTACACGTGCTCTCTCATTATTAAAACTCTAACCTACTCGATTACGTGTCCTAGCTGAAAAGTATTGTGAAGACAGGAAGAAATTTTAAATGATAATTTGGTGTATGTAAGTAATTTCAATTATTAAAAGTCCCTGTTGAAAAGTTTTTTATTTTGTAAAACCAAATTTTAGGCAGATGGTGTTACAAAGTAATTTTGATAAAGTACCAGTGATATTGCTTTTACTCATTGATACTGGTTTGTTATTTATTGGTTACCACAGCACTGTGACTGTAGGCATCAATACGTATGCATATATGTCTTCTAATAAAGAAGATTGTTATCCAGGACTTCATTATAGATTATTGCAGTGGTCCTCTTTATTATTATTTACATATAAATTTTTTTTTTCTTGTCATCTGAGGAGTCTTCTCTAGTCTTAGCATAAAAAATGTAAAATACAGCAAAGTTAGGACTGGGAAAATGTAACTCATATGAATCAATAATTACTATAAGTTACATTTATAAATGTTCATATTGCCAATACAACCAACTCTTATTCTGTCTCTTGGACCAGGCAGGAGGAGGAAGGGTAATTACATGGAATTTTATGTAAGAATAGATATAAAAGTGTATCAATATTTGGGAGAAAATGATATTTCACTGACACAAGTAGCATTTGCCTGAAATAAATGTGACAAGAAGTATCTGCTAAAACAGAAAAGTCTCCATCTACACAATACTATTTATGAGGCTAAAAAAGCAAATTTTATTCATTTCTGTGAACGTTCAAATGTTTAACCTAGCAATGTCATATACTCATTTGTTTTTAAAAAAGGAAAAGATCAGCCATTAACAGGAACCTACAGCTTTATTAACTTTTTTTTTAATAAGAAAGAAGCCAAGTATTATTTTGACATATTTGCAACAATGTTACGGCACTTCAAATTTATGTAGAATTTACCATTTACAGTCCAGACCTTCAACTTTTCAAAGATGGCTATTATCAAAGAATGCCAGATCCACAATTATGAATGTTAGGTTCTCGCAAACACATACACACAACAGCTGATTTATAATCCTGAAAGGGTAGGGGCACAACCCACTAAGGCTCTCAAGCTTGAAATCAGAGAAGATTTTATACAAAGGTTACGTGGAAGTGGGGCACCGCAGTAAGTCTAAATGAGAGAAACCGAAAAAGCTTAATGAGCCCATTGCTTAAGATATTTCAGATGTATTAGTGTTCTAATCACTTTGAATTGAAAGTCACGTTTTGGAACATAACCAGTGTAATTACAGACTCAGTAATAATCAGCTGCTTTACTAATACTTTTACAAGGTGTTTGAAGAAAAGACCAGCGTACTTATGAAGAAGTGTGAATAAACACACAGAACAGTATTTTAAAATACTAAGCATACCTGTGTTCGCAGAATTTCACCTTTTGACAGTTGCATATCACCAGTCAACTCTTTCACAGTAATGCCCAGTGGTTCCAGACGCTTGCTGAAGTAATTTGTCATTTCAGCTGCCAAAGCCTTCATAGGAGCAACATACACAATCTGCACCAAAAGGACATTCACTTGATAAATGAGCAAACCCCACAATGTTGTTTGTTTCATGGCAACCATTGCAAATCACAATTTATTGTGAAATATGATACCAGGCGCTTACAGTGAAAAATCTTAATAGTGATATATGAAAAGTAGTTATCTTTGTTGGATAAGTGTGCAGCTGTTTAAAGGACAATGGATTTTGTTTACACAGCCTCATCACTTTGAAAATTGGTTCTGCATCAAAGCCAAATGCATTTTCATAGCTTTTTACTCGCATAATAAGATTTTTAGAACATAAATAAGAATAGCTTTAACAATAATGAAGTAAATCAAAACTGGCCTTATCTTTGACTTGGAAAAGTGTAATACCCTTGAAAACTTCCTGGTTTCATATCCCATGTATAACATATAATGGGTTTTACCTTACAAGCTGAAAAGCTGTTACTTGGTTCATTAAACTCCTACCTTAAACTCATCCTTTTTGATAACACCGTGCTGGACATGCTGGCGAATTTCATGAAGGACTGTCAGCATGGCAATGTTAGTCTTCCCAGCTCCAGTGGGGGCACAGATTAGCATGTTCTCATTTGTGTTGTAGGCAGTTTCGAAAACTATAGACTGGATTCGGTTTAGTCTTTTCATGCCTTTGAAAGCAAGTTGTCCAATCTGTTAAAACAAACAACACGTATATTTTGGATCTATATATGTGTGTGAGTGTTTGTGTGTGTCTATAAATATATTAATCATAAGAAAAAGGACATCTGGTAAAAAAAAACTTAGGATACCTGTTTAAATATATTTGTTATTCCAAGGTTTTTATTCTGAGGCTACCACTCCCATCCAACCCTCAAACCCTAAATCCATAAGGAAAACAAAATATAGCAGGATAACATCTGTTAAAATTAATCAAAACCTTTAGCCACATGTTATTTCAGCATTTAATTTGTTTTTAATCGAGTGTGACCAAAACTAATACACAGTGAAATAACGACCTACTAATAAGTAAACATCAGGAAAACAGCAATAGTCAGATTAGATGAATATGCATCTTTAAATCTAAGACGACAAACTACAACTCTAATGGAAGAAGCAGCAGCAATACACAGGAACCTGCTGAAGAAACATAAGATTAAAAAAAAATATTTATGATTAATTTTGCACAATAAAGTTTAATTATGCAAACACGCACACACATTTTCACTAACAGCCTTCTCTTTCCTTCAGAGTTAATCTCCATCTTGCAGTTAATTTTCAGATCTTTCTTCAACAATGCTCCCAACAAACTGCAGCCTCCAAAAGTAACATAAAACTTGTATGTGTAGCCTCAAATAATCTTTGTGAAGGTTTTAAAAAATTAAATTATATAGTTAATACAGGCAATTATAGTTATTATAGTTTAATGCATGTTTAAGTCTTATAAAGTACAAATGATCAAGTAGAAAATACTTTTTTCCTCTTGGTTTCTCTGAAAAATTAGATTTTCACTAAGAAAGAACTGCTGTAGAAAGTTACAATTTCTGTATTTGAAGATTCTGAAACTTTTGCAACTGAGTAACAGACCCTTAAATATAAAATTAGTCTTCTAATAAACTTGCTTGTTCTTACTTTTCACAGACACTTAAAAGAGATTGCAGAACACAGAATTATTTCCTTTCTACAAATTTAATTACCTGCACTGCTTCTACTAATAATCATGAAAAGTATCTTACTGATATTTTTGATGATTATAATTTTTTTTTAATTGTAGGAAACCACAACAGTACAAATTCATATAAAGAACAGTCCTGAAAGCACCTTCTGAAGATCTCCATTCTATTATTCTGGGGGCTTCAGTTAATTTACAGTCATTTTCTGTGGTAATAGCCTCTCCAATACTAGTACATTCTTTCTAATTCTTTCCAATACTAAGCAAATTATTTGAGCAGGACTCAATTTATTACTAACCCAAGTAATGCCAGCTCAGGAATGAGGGCTTCTTTGGTTATTCAAATCAACTATTTTAATTAACTCTGCAACAAACAGCATTGAGTATTATTTTTCCTGAAGCTTCTTCGTAGTAACCTCATGTGAGAGCCTGAAATGCAAATTACAAATTTAGGGCAATACACCATTTTCACAATACATGACAATGCTCTACCCTTAAATGTAGAGGAATGGCATACCTAATGACTGGCTAACTGTAGTTTTATTCTAGAGGACTTTATGTATTGAAAAACAACATTCGTTGATATAAAAGCCAATGAAAATACTATGTAATCAATACACTATTTCCTTCTGAAAAATGTGCTTTTCAGTTTAGCAGTACCTTTGTCTTTGGAAAGCTTTCAGGTTGGAAACTTCTTGTGCAACACTGAAAAAACAAGTTCCATTCAAATAATGTATTGCATTTGTATTTGTAGGATTGACACGTCTCAAATATATATTCAAATATGTTCTAAACTGTTAAGTGTCTTTGGTGAAGAAAAAAATAAATGGATCTAGTGCAAGTACTTCCAGTGCTTTTCATCAAGTTTCTTCAATTTTTTAAGTGGCTGAATTTCAGGATTACAACAGTTTTCACTATTAATATTCTTTCACAGTTTATTCTGCATGCAAAAGTGCAGGGGGAAATCTTATTTGTTTTGCACCAAGTTTTGTATACCTAATGTTTACGTGGTGTATTGTCTTCAAAATTAATTTAATCTCCATGAATGAGATTATTAGAAAGTGTTAATGGGTTTCCTAGGGGTTCAATCAACCATTGTTATGGCCTCCTTAGTCATTTTAGGTTTCTAATTTGCCTATCGCTCCATTTTGAGATTTCTTGACAAGTCTTTGAAAATGGTCTATCTTCTCTTTTACCTTCCATTCTATCTAATTGGGTTTAGAAGCTATTACAAACACTGTAAAGTTCACACCGATAAACAATACTTACAGTGTTTATAACAAAAGATCGATGGACAGAAACTCACAAACACAACCGGTGATTACAGAATTGAACAAACAAAACACTACACTACACAATATATATATTATTTAAAGAAGCAGTTTTTAAACAAAAGCAGAAACATACTTGTCTAAATAAAGTCTGGTGTAAGCATATTCAGAAAAGACTAACAGGAATTTTTCACAGCCACACAGCTGAAAATGTTTGGCTTTACACATACAGGTTTTCTTATAGCTGTGTGATTGTTAATAACCTTAAATAAAGTATGTCTTTAAGTGTTTTCTTAAACTACTGCCCGTAGGAATATATTGCCCCAGTTTCTCCTCATCTTTAAATGGGCAGTGTAAGACATGCTAAATTTGGAAGAAATTAAATATACTATAGCCCCAAGACATGGAACTGTTATCAAAAATAAACAAATATTTAGATAAATAAAAATAATTTCCTATCTTTTTTCCTGTTGGAAAGTAGTAACACCATGGATTAAGGCTGACTTGGTAAGGCACCAGAGAAAGCTGTGTAACGCGTTAGAAAAATGAACCTCAGCTTGTTTTCTGGAAAGATGCTAAGCCTACTGAAACATGAATATTAAGAGTGGAATAAAGATTGATAAAAAATAAAACCTTAAAAGTCTGGTTAAGAACTAGAAGTATTTTTTTTTTAAAATAATGGTATTCTGACCAGAATCTAGACTTTCATTCAACACAGTAATCAATTTTCAAGCAACTCAAAAGAAAAATGCAGGCACTGACAAATCACAATCACAATACACAGTCAATGCGTAATGTTCTTTGACAGGTGACTCTGCAGGAACATCTTAAGTTTCTTAAGATATCTTAAGACTTCAAAACAACTTCCCATTTGATTCAAAGAATATTACAGGTTATCCTTCCCCAAAACTTCATTTTATTCCAAACAAGTGGAAATACATATGCATAATCCAAAACCAGTAGTTCTGCCCTTAAAAATCAGTAAGAAAAAAAATGGACAGCAGACAGAAATTCAACAGTGTGCACAGAAGTCCACAGTTTGACAAACGTACTAGAAGATTTGCTTTTTTAATTTGGCATTTGCACAGACTACCTAGTTTCAAAGCTGAAAACAATTTTCTTCCCTCTGGCATATGAACATCAGTCAAGAATTCCACAGACCAAAAGTTTTTCAGACAAACTAGTGAAATCCCTTCTTGCTTAAGGGACTGGTAGCCACTGGATGGCAGAATCTGTTTTTTATTGAAGGTGAATGAGATGCAACGTTCTTCAGCCTTCTACTCCACAACTGATTTATCCCTAGAATTCTACACAAACCAAACGAAGTTTAAGCAGAATACAGTCTGAGTGCCATTCTCAACAAACACAGTTTCATGCCTAAAATGGTGTCATTTTTACATAAGCATGAATCAATGTGAAAGACCACTGAGAAGCAACTCTTTGCACAAACCAGATGATATTCAAGGCATCTCTGATGTGAATGTATAAAACATTTATATTTACTTCAGTAAGCTTTCCAATTCTTTCCCAAGGAATTTACTAGTACAACTAACGCATTTACAAGTATATGAGATTACAGTTAATTAAGGTATTCTAAATTAGTCATTTCATTAAAAAGGTATTTGTGTGTTGGTACTCTAACAGCAATTTAAAAATAGGATAAAACTGTTAAAGCCATTAAAGTAATATTTATGAATGAGTCCATACAATTCAGTCTGCAGGCAAGCAACAGCTTAAACACAACTGCTTTAGCAACACGGTAGTAACAGCATCTGCTCTAAATAGCACAGGCCATCAGCACTTTAGACTGAGTTTTACTCATGCAATTCGTTAGCCAGACCTTGTAGTTCTCCAGAGTTTAATAAATATGAAGCAGAAGACACTTTTTTTCCCAAGGCACACCTGTGAAACCTGCTGTGGTCTATCTGTAGTCTATAGCACTCTCCCTCACCGAGAACAAAGGGTGCTAACTGCAAGTTCCATTAAAAGCTGAGATCTTTCACTCACTGTGTCACTTTATGCATTAACACTAGGTGACAGAAACAGCTTGTCAGATGCAATTAACCCCAGTATCACAAATTTTCACTTGGTGGCCCAATG